GGCTAAAAAAAACCTCTAAAATTGGTTGAGGAAAAAAAATATCAAGATGTTTACTGCTTTGATGCAAAAAAATAATGATGAATTTTTTCCTCTACAGTCACTTGATGAACGTCTCAAGTTCCATAAAGAGAGTCATTGAAATTAGTTTTGAACATAAATTAATGAGGTGAAAGATTGAAAATCAAACGGCCTTTAACTGTACATTTTGAATTTAAAAAAAAAAAAGAATTCCGTACAAAGAGGACCAAATCGGTCTATTTGAGTAATGACAGGCAAAAGAGCATTGCCTCGACGCTGAATTTGCATTAATGATCAAAGATGGACAAAACTATATTATTCTCGGCCCTAGTCCCATTAGTGATGCAATTGGAGTAACCAACGCATATTTTGGCCGTAATTAATTGATAACACAATTATGAATGGAATGATGGTACGCGTAATTAACACATTCAAATTATATCATCTACCATTTGTCTCACACTGCCACGAACATTTAGACGTTGCCGATGTACCCCCAATAAAACATGTATTCTTAAGAACTGCGATGAATATTTTTCCCGAAATCTTCCCGATTCTCTCAAAGCGGCACACTCACTTTCCTACCCGGGCGTTTGAGTCTCTGAGTATTTACTACTTTTAAAATTTCACTGCATGATCACTGATCACCGGTCAAACGCTTTTCTGTGGAACATCCGAGAAAAATTAATGTGAAACATGGACTTTTATTCTTTCATTTGGTATCTCTACTTTTCTGTCGTGGCGTTTAAGTCTCTGGATGATACTTTTTGTGTGATTCAAGTAGTTACCCACGAAGTGCATGTTCTTTCTCAGCGCATTGCGCTTAGTCCTCAGGAACATATCGATGAGATAGATTTTTATTTAGGACACTTGAAGGGTGCAAATATGGAAGATTAAAGGTTTAAAAGCAATGAGATCAAGGTCTCCGTATATTAATACAATTCAGATGTAAGTTTCATCTAATACACTTCAGTATAAAAATTCTCAGGGCCTCAGCGAAATTATTATCATTGAGGATTCAGACAAGAGAAGAACAAGAGGGAAACAAGGAGAAGGAGCAAAAGAAAAGGACGAATAAGTATGAGTGCAAAGAAGGAGAAAAATACACATACAGAGAAGAAGACGAGGCTAGAGATAAAGACAAAGAAGAAATCGAAGGGTACGACAAAAAAAAGACGAAGAGGAGGACAAAGAATACGACGAAGAAAGGGGTGAAAAAGACAAAAAAGAGAGTGGTGAGAAAGACGACGGAGATGAAGAGGAAGTAGACGATAAATAAGGCGAAAAAGAAAACAAAGAAGAGGAATAAGAAGACAACGAAGAAAAAGACGAAGTAGAGGACGATTGATAAAACGAGGAAAATAGACGAGAACATCTCTCAATCTTTGAATTAAAAAAATTATGAGAGCAATTTTGGTGCCCCTGCGATAGGCTTTCCATACGCAATCGCGTACATTGTGTGCTCCTCACGACAGGCCTGGGACGCTGAAAGGCGTTTGGACGAATCTTATTACTCCTCACTGTTCGATCATCCCCGATTTTGCGATTCGCCGTTCTCCGGCCGATTAAGTATTCTCATGACTGGATGGAAATTTTACGAGCAATTAACGTAGAATGGGAGTAGCTTTGGCATAATCACACTTACGAGGCACGTGAGCAAGATGGTAGGCGAGCTGAGTAGAGCATCGCTCGATGGTTATGCGCTCATGAGAAGTAAACCGAAAGCTTCCCAAAATGTGAAAGTGAGGCGTATGCGCAAGTGAGCTGGACATAAAACGCTAATTAATCGCATGGATTGCCCGGGCTCCATCTCATCTGCTCGGACTCGACGGTTAGGTCATAACTGTCTGCTGAAAAATCACTCCGCTTCAATGTGCTCCTTCCTGCTTTTAAAGTATGCAAAGGAAAATTGCTCTGCATTTGCTGAGAAAATTGTTCCTGTTAAATATCATCGAAAAAAATGTGAAGTTCATTTAACATTCTGGATGTAAAAAAAGTGTGCGAGAACTCACAAAATGCTAAATTATCCGCTACGGCAGTTAATTCTACATCTTGACATTGCCGCAGTAATCGCTGAAGCAGTTATTTCAGCATTTTGTACGTTTTTGCACACTTTTTTACACCCAGAATGTTAAATCAACTTCACTTTTTTTCAGTGTACGTAATGACAAGGATTCCACGCTATACGGAAAAAAGTGTTAAGGGTCATCCCCTAAAATTTAGGGGACTTTTCCAATCTGTTGAATGATATGGACATTTTCAATTAATTTTACTAGTACCGCAACTCAAGTTGGGAGCAGTGCCGCAACGTTATGGTTATACTAACCAAATTTTTTGGGGTACTACAAAAATTAATTGGAATACCACCATGATTAACTGGAAATGTATAAGTAGGGGCTGAACCCGCACCTCTCTTTTTCCCCGTGTAAAAATGGGCATGTTGGCGAGTAAAAAATGGTTTTAACATGTCTTAACGTGTATCGATATGGTATGAACATGGAGCAAATGACTAAAATGACTGTTCTGTTAATTTGAAATATTCTTGTGCGGTCTTCGTGGTGGGTTTTTTGGTGGATTATTGGTGACTCACATAAATGGTGCCAAGACTGTACCATCTTGGTTAAAGTGACCAACAGTGACACATACGTATATAAAACCAACGTGGGAGAATGGTCAGATCAAGTTGGTGCCATCTTAATGTCATGCTGTTACCATGTTGGCATCAATGGTGCTATGTCAGTACTATGTCGGTAACATTAGGATTATGTGTTTATAGTAGAGAAATGATTTCATCAACAGGAAATCTCCTGAAAACGACAAGGTGTTTCTGCCATGTAGTAGAAAAACTGTTCCAAACAAGCAGATTACCTGATGTTTCAACGAGAAATTCCTGACGTGGCTTACAATTAGTAGGAATAGCTGAATAGGAAGGCTTTTACAGGAACGATTTTCCTCTAACAGAAAATTTTTCACGAAGCTATTAGATGTATTCATACCTTCCAAATTGTTCGCGTTTTCGTTATCTCTAATTGTTGTGATTCAACGTGTCAACAGCAGCATATATTTTTTTAGGTTAGGTGTAATGGTCACCAATTTGGTGTGACAAGTCAAGACTTATGTTAGTGAAATATTTTAATTTTTTATTTTTTGTATTTATTTTATTTGATTTATTTGTCGTCGCGGCTATGAGGCATTTGCTATCTGCAAGACATAGAGGAGAAAGAGATGTAAACGTTATGTTGTAGGTTAAGATACAGAATATCTTCAATTTTATACAAGTCGGCAACTGCGCATTCGATTTCATAACCGGCATCGAATGCTGCCAATATCTGATGAATAGCAATGTAAACATATTAAAGACATCCGTGCAGCATGGACGTTCAAGCGCTTCCTCTGTTGCTAGATTTATGAGTTTTTCTTCGGAAAAAAAGTTTCTTCGGATGCAAATATATGAACCGTATTAAAAATAAAGAGGAAGAAAAATGGAGGAGCGACAAAAAGACTGAAGTCAACTTTTTGATCGACTGAAAAGTCGCGCATTTACAATAGCTTCTTGTTTTCCTCTTTCTTTTTTTCTTATTTGTGTACGTTTCCTTCATCTCATCAAATTCATGAAATGGATAGGGAAATGAGGGTTTGCGTGCAACATATCGATGGTGAAACTACCAAACTACGTATCTCATTTGCGGTGTTTAAAAATCTACGCCCACATTTTATTTTTTTGAAGTAGACTAAATCAATATCATTCCTTGAAATTTTCACAGAATTTTCTCCGCACGAAAAGGAAAAATCACAGAAATTTTCAAGACTGGACGTTAAGTAGTTTTTCATTTAAAAAATAAAGTATGACAGGAAGTCTGCGACGTCGCAAACCGAGATACGTGGTTTGGTAGTTTCACCGTCGATATTTGCTTTTAGCATGATACGTCCAATTTTCATGATGGGATTTTATTTTACTCCATGCTTGATACTAATCGTAAATCAGATGGAACGGAGTTTAATGTCAATTTTCAGATTTACCTTTCTTCAGCTCGGTTTCAAAAATGTTTTAAGGATGTCTTTATGTCGAAAATATGGATTTGGTCAGTCAGCAAGAATAACCATTTACCCGTCAACCTATAAACTGTTGTAAATCCCCGGTAGTTTCACCAGTTTTGTTAATGAGCTATATGTGTAAGTCTTTCGGGATTGTTTTTCCAAAAAAGACATGCTATCGCAAATGCGGGTGTAGAACATCGATTAATATAGATCAATCTGCGATGTATCGAGTTTTCGATGAATCGCGGACTTTGAAATTGCCCATCAGACTTACGGATAATTTCGATTTTACAATGATACTTTGCGAAATGGACCTATTATCAGTTAAAATACAGTTACAGTTAAAATCTGGTACCAAGGTTTCACCGTAGGCGGAGTTTTCGTTGTTTTTTTTGTGACTTCATTGGCTCGCCGAATTTGTTTTCATAGGTGATTAGTACGTGCTCGATGCTTGAGCAGGGTGGCATGAAACGTAAAAAAGAAATGAAAGATTGGAAATACAGTGAAATATTTTATAGAATTTCACGAGGCTGTAAAATGTGTCATATTTTAAGGGGCGTCAGTATGCAACCCGCACCCAAACACACAAAAATAGAAGAAAGTTACAATTTTTACATTTTGCGAAACATGAGAAGGAACCGGTATTTTTCAAAATCTTTCACAAATTTCTGAAATTTCATGAAATATTTCACGTGAAATTTCAAGATTTTATTTTTCATAAAATATTTCCACCCTGTTCTTGAAAACCTGACACAGCGGGCTATTTCCTAGTCGTCGTTAGAGGAAGAAGACCTAGTTTTCTTTCTCGAAAAGGACCTAAGTGACATCCCGTTTTCCATTTAATGTTTATCCACTCAAGACTTTCAGTCTTTTCCCCCCAATGTCACCCACTCACTCCTTTACTCTGCGCACCCTCCTAATTTTAAAATGTTTTGTTGCAGCAGGTTTGAGTGCCGCTTGTTTGGGGGAGGAGATGGCCCTGTTCGTGTTGAACGCGGACGCAGTTACAGCTCAACCAGGGCATGGGTCCGCGCAGACCCGCTTCAAACGACAGTCAACTATCTCCTATCAGGTCAACCATTTCGCCGTGCAGGACCAGGAGCCTCATGAGGCCCGAGGAGCAAACCCCACGGTCGCCCCTCGACCGGGGTACGGGGGTAGGGGAGCCCGCCAGCTCAGCCCTAAATTCCCCACTACCCTCCTCCAAACACAACAGGTACTACAAAAAACCTTCAGACGTTGATCTTTAGGTTTTAAGATTCAAAGTGTCGCCAGCTCTCTAAGAGCGAATCATTCTTCCCCCTGAATGCAATTTTCTCACGTTCACAGATGGGGGCAAAATGCTCTTAAAACTATATAGGTTTCCTCTCTACGATACACAGCAATATAACAAATTATATAGCGGGTAACAAGGCTAATTTTCACGAATTAGGTAAACCTAAACGTTTCGGCTGAAAACTCAGCATTCCTCAGTTGGATAAAACATTAAAAAAATGGTAAAACTCTGAGTTTTTAGCCGAAACGTCTCGATTTTATCCGTGAAAATTAGCCTTGTTACCCGCTGTATAATTTGTTTGATTGTTGTGTATCTTGTCACGGGCTGCAGAGCGTGCATATCATATCTCATTTTCTACAATTCTTCACTCCAACAGTCGCATGATCTTATTACTTTTTACGGATCTATGATCTGTATCAGTATGTGTAATCGCATGAAAACACGATTCTGTGACAAGCGTAACCCATTAAAATATGGCTAGCATTGTAGAACACGTGGCTAATTTTTTGGCATTAATAGTATAATGTATTATATCTTTAGAATCGCAATGACTTTTTTTTTAAATAAATGAATTGAGTCAACACGAGATTTTCACATCTTACGCTACCCAATGCAATGATAATTATCTTCAGGTTTAGTGCCCCAAACTAAAGGAATAGTTCGCATAAGAACAATTTACTCAATTTACCGTCTATTTTTTCATATTTTCCATATGTTTACCAGCGAGCACCCACTGACTACCTGGATTACGGTGCGCAACAATATTCATCTGGTCCTGACGCGCTACAACAACAATATTTTGGGTGAGTAATTTTTTGTCATTTTCAAAATCGAGTAAATTAATCCCGTAATTAACGTGTACTTTTTGCATTCCCTGAGTGGGCTCATAGTAAAATATACAGCATTATTCCGAGGCAGAACACAGTGCGGCCGGCGTACGTAAATTAACGCCTGCAAGGCTGTAGGAATACTTCACGCATTGCGCCAAACAGAGCGGTCGGCGTAAAGCCCATATTAGCGCCTACAAGACTGCATGAATACTTCCCGCATTGCGCCAACCGCAGTGCAGTCGATCAGTTGGCGTGAAACGCAGATTAGCGCATACAAGACTGGATGAATGCTGTAGGACTGCGTACGCGCGTTATCATTCTTACTTTCTGTTCCAGTTTTTACCATAATTAAAGGAAAAAAATATTTCCTCATTATAACTATTCAGAAACACGGATGCATGGTATTTAAATTTTTTTTTTGTTACATCAAAAGAAAATAAAACGAACGGAAACATTGTGTATACATTTTCGATACTTTAATTTGAGATCATTTTAAATTCGCGGAAACTTTTCAGAAAAACTGTGTGTAGCTCTTTAAAAGAATATATTAAAAATAAAACATAAAAGTGGTACATAACGTTGCAATCAGAGATAAAAATACGCTTTCTTTCGGGTGCACCCGTCGGATTTTGAATCCAATCATCTCTTAAAAGACTTGGACATAATTGTTCTGCATGGTTTTTTAAGTTTTTGTCAGTGGTTGGCGGCCACTTGGCAGCCACAGGCCCCCTAGTTCCCTTTTTAAATGTGTATGAAAGCTCTCCGGGCTATTCGTGCTGCGAGGACTATCCATCGAAGAGAGACGTGTCCATACGCGAGGAGGGAATGAACAGTCTTCCGTGATGTAGTTATCTACCACAAACCACCAAAGTTGTCCGATTAACGCTTCCTCTTTGAATATTGAATATTCGCCCAAACATGTGAGTTCTCAGTACCAGAAAAATTCGCACAATCCAAAAAGATAAGAAAAGGGGCATTCGCGCAATCCTATCGCAGCCGTATTAAGATTAGTTTTACTTAAAATAATTCATATCTCAATTTTTTCAAAAACTGAACTTATGCGCCTTGTTTTTCAAGCCCCTCGTACGTTGATATGGCTTAGGTCAGAAAATGCGCACCTCTTCATTGCGACGTTGCAAACCACTTCTGTCGTTTTATTGTTCAATATTTTTGTTTTGCTTTTAAAGAAAATTAATCGCGTTTTAATGGACCACTAGACATGGTACGAAGGTAAGCATTCTGATACATGTTTCTCAATCAAAATTCAACGTAGAACACGACTCATGCGACAAAAATTACATAAATTGATCCCTAACCAAGATATTAATGTTTCTTGGCGCGTGAATTCAAACCTCCCGCTCATGAAAACACAATGGTCTACGTGCGTCAGATTGCAAACTAACCGTTAACGTGGCAGCCCCTGCAATTCGAAAACATGGCAACCTCAATCTTGACGCTTTGGCTCAGCTACAGCAACTTGTTTATACTTTGAACAATGAAGGGTGGGAAACGAACAATGTTTGATTGAGGAGCCTGCCAAAACCGTTGTAGCGCGCGATTTGACTCGAGTAGAGAATTGTGTCTCTCGTGACCGGGCAATTCAAATTTTCCAAAATCAATGTAAAATTAAAACGTTAATATCTTAGTTAGGAGTAGGCTTCAGTAATTTTTGATGCGAGAATCGTGTTTTACGCGAAAGTCTGGTTTAGAAACATGTATCAGAATGCTTAACTTCGTACCTTGTACAGTGCATAGAGTACATAGAGTCGTAATGTAAATGGGAGAGCTGGCGCCATGTTCTGCTCGACGAGTTCCGAGCCCGGTGTGCGCCGAGTTCGGGTCACTTTTTCGATACAAGTTCGATCCAAGATGGCGGTGCGGAATATTTGGTGATCCCTATCTTCTTTGTTTACATCGAATGGCCGGGTACCCGAGATTCGCAAACAATCGATTATGTATCGAAAAAGTGACCCGGCGTCACACAGGAGTCTCGGAATTCGGGACCTGGAAAATGCTTAAAAGTGGCGCCAGCTCACCCACTTACATTACGATTCTATGTACTTTATGGTACAGTTGCCCATTGAAATTTTCTGTGAATCTTTTTGGCGTATTTGACCGATGACCCATTGTTTTGAAATTGCAGGAGCCTAGCCCAATTCGCAGCTGAACAGCAAGGCGGCGTGCCAGCCGAAGAACCAGCCCAGCCGCAGCCACCAACGACAACCCTCTCGCCGGAGACTCAGGAGAATATCCGGGCACAGCAGGAGTACAAGGACCGGCACATCAAGGAGCAAGAGCGGCTGGCCCTCGGGGTGCGCCGCCCGGCGCCGGGCCCCGCGCCCGGAGGCCAGGCCCCGGCGGGGCCCTTCGACGACGGGCCCAACCCGACGATCCAGTTCGTCTCGGCCGGAGGGGCGCCCCTCATCCAGCCGCAGCAGCAGTTCGCCCAATACGATTACGCTCAGGACGCCACCGGGAGCGACGCCCAGTACTACCCGGCCCCCGCCCCCGCCCCGGGCCCTGGAAGGCCGCTCTTCACCAGTGCTGAGAATTCCGGCAAGTCGACTTTTACCAAGAGGTTAGGCTAATTCCAACTGACGATCGACCTTCGACCGCCACCATGCACCGTAATGTCGGCGGCGCCTGTGGGCCAAATTGGGGGAGGCTTTTGATGTGAGTAGACTAGAAGGCAAGGGACGAGCAATCTGATACATGAGTCTCGACCAAAATGTCAACGATAATTCCTGAAATTTACTCTTAACCAAGATAAAGATATTTTCCTATCCATAAATTCAAACTTCCCGCTCATGGAAAAATGGCTCACTTTTTGGAGCTGAGGAAATCCCTCTTAAAAGCGGAAGATACGTCCTAAAATTCTCTCGAGGATTCTAGTACGATATCCAGTGCAAGGATTTCATTGGCTGACTGTCATTTTTCAAATGCACGTTCTAGACCAAAACTGCATAAAAAGGTAGATGCCCGCCCTAAAGGCCCCATACATGCGCCGCCTATATGATCGCACTTGCACACCTAGAAATGAGATATTATTCGGTCCGAGAGTACTAAACTTCCATCGCAAAAGCTCCATAGTTTCTACGTAAAGCAACGAGTAGGTAGGGAAGTAAGGAAAAATAGGGTACTACATCATTATTTATTTATCCTTGTTCACATTTGGATATTTGACAATAAACAATTCACGAACACGACAATTATTAATCCAATTAACCGTAGAGATTGAGAGGCATGCACTTCTTATTCGTAGTTTTTATCCATAGTAAAAATATTTTATTTTGTTAAACTCCAATAGTGCATTAATTAAACCTGCTGGTAGTGATAGTGGACAAATGTATTTAAATTTTCCACTAAATCTTCCTCAACTAAACCTAAACAAACGAAGTAGATTTGCATGTAATAGTAGAAACTAACTGATGCGGCGCTGTGGCGAGGAATGTTCATGATACATGATGAAAGTATACAAACTCTGAAGTAACTTTAGGTTAATGCTAAGCAGCGAAAGTATAATCCATCTCATTAATTTTGGAAAAACAGCTCAAATAAGTGTAATCGATTGTAAACTCTGCAAAAAGTGACGCGATTTTTTTTTTTAAACATGGAATGTTCATGATACATGATGAAAGTATACAAACTCTGAAGTAACTTTAGATTAATGCTAAGCAGCAAAAGTATAATCCATCTCATGAATTTTGGAAAAACAGCTCAAATAAGTGTAATCGATTGTAAACTCTGCAAAAAGTGACGCGATTTTTTCCCAGTTGATGCCGTTTCACTTGTAATAGGCATAAATAGTTTTACTAACATTCTCAGTTGTTTAACTTACCCCCAAAAGTATACACTAAAATTCGCATCATTAACCAAGATTTTACTATACGAATACGGAATAGAACGGTGGTTTATTTTCATTTTTAAAATTTTCAGCAAAAACTTCGAGGAGCATCCTTAAATAATTTAAAAATCCGATTACTTTTTATAAAAATATGAATTAAAATCTGTAACAAATTTATTTGCGCGACCAACTCAATTCGTTTTAGCCTCTGTAAAGCTTTTTTGGTCGTCCATCTGTACAAAAATGAACCACAAAGATCGCTTCAAAACGTTCCAACAGACTTACGTCCTTCTGTAATAGTCGACTTCATTTTAAAAGTATGCGTGCAGTGTGAAACAGATGAAATGTGAAGAAAGGGACACAGAGCACTGCGACGATCATACTGGCGCCTGGATGCAACTATTCGAACTTCTCGGATGTGCGTGTTGCTTACTGATAATTGAAGGCGTTTTATTTTTTTGAGCCATCAGCGACTAGCACAGCGTTTCAGTGTGCTGTTATTGAGGCGGGCGATGAACAAAATCTCTAAGAGTGAGTGTGCAAATTTTGTATGTCCAATTTTGTATGTTACTATGGGGTAAGCCCCCAAACAGCTTTGCAGTCCAACCCCCGGAAGCGCTTTGCGCATCAGGCATTATGCGTTACGCGTTGCTCTTATGATTTTATATTATAGAATATGATATTCAAAATTTTCACATAATCTAATCTATAATACTCTAATCTAATCTATATAATCTAAAACCTTTGGTCAGGGATGTATCTTAAAAACGCGGTAAAATCAGCGTTCCCTGCAATTGCCCCGCAAGAGGAGGAGCTGCAGTGTAGCAAACAATTTGGCTGAATCGGAAAAAAATAAAGAAATTGAAAATTGACATTTTTGGGAAAGATCATCGTCATCCGAAATATATTGAGTCTTAATCATGCCCAAAAATTGAAACTGTGGATTTTACATTTATCTTGTTAAATTAACTTCGTATTTTAATTTGAGGATGCTTCTCGATGTGAGCGCCGCCGGTCGCATCACAAAAACTATTACTAGCTGTACGGAAAAAAATGGATTACTGATTTAACGATTAAATTGTCAAAAAATATGTCCGAAATTTTTCAGATGTACATTTCACCATAGAGGGAGGCTAATTTAACGACGAGGGTGGTTAAATTAGTATTTTTCTACTGTAAAATCTACATTAAAATATATCGGTCCCTTTTTTAAACTAATACATTGTCGAATCGGAAATTTCATTTTTTTCCTTGTGACAAGTTTCCTCCCGTAAACATAGATTTACTAACCCAATATTTGTTAACTCACTCCAGTAGATCATGGGTTATCGGTTTGAAAATTGCATTCTCAGATTCGCTAATCCCATTTTTGTTTTGCCAAAAGGTTAGTGCCGAAGAACTTCCAGCCGGGCAAGTCACTGCTCGACCCGACGCAGAGCTTCTCGTACACGCAGCTCCAGTTCGGCGACAACTCGCCCAACGAGAAATACTACTCGAAACTGCACGACCTCAGGCAGAAACTAGTCCCCCAAGCAGAGCAGCACGTAGCGCAGCGCTCCGCTCCCAAACAGCGCCCGAAATACGAACCAACCTACGTCTACGACACCGCCGCCTACCAGATCGAATCCTCCACCCCTAACTCGCTCCCGCATTACGTGGCCTCCACCCCGAAGGCCCACTACGTCAGCCAGTACTACCACCCCACGGCGACGGCACGGCCCAGCCTCGTCTACACCCAGTCCTCCGGCGACAGTGGGCTCGTTCACCCTAAAGCCGAATCCTCGACCGCCAAACCCGTCCTCAGGCCACAATACATAGCCACCACCCCCGAATACTACTACGAATCTACCCCCGCCCCTCAATACGAGACCCCTAAACACCAGAAAAAGCTCCAGAAACTGATTGCACCTGATTTTGTAACGGCAGCTGGCGAACAGCAACTACGGCAGTTGCAGCGACTACAACAGCTCCAACAAGCCCAACAACAACAGAACTACGAGGCGCAAGGGATCGAATTCGACCAGGACCTCCAGCTCTACTCGCAGCCGACGAAAGGCTTCTACGCCAATATCAAGAAAGCGGCTGTTCATACACCCAGCCCGAGCCCTGCTTACGCGACGGCGAGTCCCGCCTACGCCACCGCTCCCAGCAAGTCAGCCTACTTCGTTTCAACAGCCGCACCCCACACGGTCCGCGAGAGCAACCAGGAGGACTATGGAAACAACGAGTTGAGTGAACTCTCCGTCCAAACACCGGACGGTCGAAAGCCACTCACCCCGGCTGAAATCAAAGCCCTAGTCAGCGCCGGTTTTCACATCCCCGAGCTGAAACACCAAGACCCGAGCGTGGCGGTTCAACCGGTTCGCCGGCCGGTCTACAGCTACCAACCGGTTCAGGGGCACCCCACGCGCGCCCCGGTCACTGAAACCCCCGACTACGTCACGCGGGTGAGCCCCACCTACACTCCGACGTATACACCGGTGTATTCGACGGCCTCGCCTTACGACGATGTGGATTCCAACCAGAGGGCCACCGAACAGAGGTACCGCTCGACGGTGTCCCACCTGACCGGGAGGAAAAGGGTGACCGTAGCGGCGACACCAGCGCCCCTATCGGCCGAGGAGGAGAAACTCGGGCTGCCTCGAGATGGAGTCCGGCACTATTACAGGGTAGACGCCAGTGACAGCGGGACTGCGCCTCAAGCCTACGTCCTCGTAGGAGGGCACGTTCGGGCTCCTGTCCAGGGTCCAGCGAGAGGATTGGGTCAGTATTCGAGCCTCCTGGTGTCCAGGAGTGCTGATCAAGGCAAGAAAACAGAGAAAGCGCCCTGAAATCCTGTGATTAATCCATTGATGGAATCAGATTATTGTGCAAGTCTATGATATTGCTGAGCAGAGCACACACTCGGTGCAAAGCGTGGCGTGGTTTGCGATGTATCGATTGTTATGCCATTTAAACCTGTGGAAAAGGATCGATAAACAGGGTGTTCGCAGCGAACACCTTAATGATCGATTCTTTACCATAGGTTTAAATAGCATAACAATCGATACATCGCAATTCACGCCACGCCACCGACTCAGCGTGTTCCCACGATGACTCAAGTACCGCGTCGAATGATCCTTCATTGAGTAGGCACTTCCTATCTTCAGGGATAGTCATCGGGTGAGATCAACGAGGCTGCAAATCTGATAAAATACCAAAGTACAAAATTTCATTAAAAATGTTCCTCGGAGAAATAAGTACTGATTGCAGAGGTGGATTTACTTACGCTGACGTATTTTTTCTGTTGAATTTAGAAGGAGGAGAAAACCATACCAGTGCGATCAAAATTAGGTTCTTAGAACTACAGAGTAACGTTCGTAATGATCTTCAACTTAAATGCTTTTATGTTAAGAATTGTAAATAATGTATTTAAATTAGTTTCAAGGCATTTGTGATTATTTTTCAGGGGCCAAAGAAGAACAATATAAAAGGACCATACGAGCATACGACGGAACTACAGTAATAAAAATTTAAAATTTCGCTCACGTTAATGGTTTAATTCAAATTAATGATCACGGAAAAAATTAAATTGCCGATTTAACAATTCAATTGCTAAAAAAAGTGACTGCAATATTTCAACGTAGATTCCACAACACAAAAATGCTACTCTGAACCACCCCCGTGGTTAAATTAGCTTACAATAGTGGTTAAAGTAGCATTTTTGTGTTATGAAATCTACCTTGAAATATTGCAGTCACTTTTTTTGGCAATTGAATTGTCAAATCAGCAATTTAATTTTTTCCGTGAGCTCATTATACTTTTCAATAATGTATGCCAAAACAAGATTAAATCACTGAATTGAATTATCAATTCTGGGTTAGAGTCCCTCCTCTGGGATTGCCATTTATCATCTTCATGCGTTAAGAGAATGATACATGCGAGCCTGGTTCGAGTGTCTTGTTATGTTGTTATGAGTATAGAGGAGAAAAATAAAATATCCTGTCAGGGATGCCGCGCAAATCTGTAAAAATCTGGGTTCATTGTATCTACGATTATGAACAATATATTATGATGAAATAACAGGGCTTGCAAAGAATGGCCTCTCTGAGAGCACGATTATTTCGTGCCAAGAGAACGTAATATACAATTCATGTGACGTAGGTGCCCACAATATGAAATACCCACATTGTTTCCAACTTCAAGGGCTTGTTTCATTGTTTCAAAAATGCAATATAAGCCAGTATACGACGTGGAAGATGCTGCCGTGAAAATTGGAAGATAAACAGTCCCTTAAAGTCATGCAAGCAGAAAAAACACACTTAGGAGGAAAACTTATAAATTTCGAATGAATTATGTTGACAAAAAGATACAAATTTCCTCGTTCCAATGTGCGTAAAAAGTCTGCCCTCTCTGTCATGCCTTAAGATTTCCCCAAGATTTGAATTGAAGACAAAATAAGAAACGCACCGAGTTACAGTTGATATCGATTTTTCTGACACTGCTTAAAAACAGGAGAAGGTCTGGTCCGAGATTTACTTTTAAAGTCTAATAAACACATTTTGGTGACAGAAGAAGAAATATGTATCTCCGACTATCGCATTGTAAATCTTCGCTCGTCTTTTATTTTCAAAAAGAAATTTGACCAAAATTAATCTTGACATTTTTCATACATTCCTTTATTTACCGAAAATATTCGGGAAAAAATACAAGGGCATGTTCGGGGTAGTTCTTCCTCTTCCTTAAAAAAATGAAAAAAGAAAGAGAGAGAGAGAGAAAGAAAGAAAGAGCGAAAAATCATTTTAATCCCTCAACTTGAAGAAATCATTACACAGATCGGCATCATTCGTTCATAACAAGAACCGAACCAGTTTCGGGAAGTACAATCGTTCGATTCATTAGCCGCAATATCATAATTCGTGTGAATCTATTTGACTGTTGGCCAATTTTTCACGGTACGACAATGGAATTATGAGTTGGTGTGTTTAACCGAGAGTCCATTGACAAAGCTCGATTTGAAACAGGGCCGTAAATTACCTTCACTTTCATTCAAAACAAGGAATAGAGGGGTTTCCTCATGATTTTCGCACGAAAGCATGAGAGTATTAGCCCTCACTCCCACGCCCCCGCCCCCCTCGCCCAGTGCCCCGCGATCTTATACGCGCTCGGTTGCATAATCCAGCGCACATGCGCGCACTGACAAGCATCCTTGTCAAATCTATCCGAAAAATAACGTGCGCCTCATGCAATATTATTGTAATATTATCAAGATAAAACTGAGAAAATTTGATAATTTGAAGTATCGACCCATGAATGATCTCAATGGTGAGAAAAATAAATTTTCTTTAAAAAATAAGAACATATCAATTTACAAATACGGTATAAATAACAATTAAAATAAAAAATAAACTACGAATAAATTATTAACTCTGGAAAATGGTCCAAAAAGATGTTTTTAAATTAAAACAAAATTCGCTTTGACCCGAGGACTTTTTTCAGTATTTTAAAAAAAAAGAGTGACATATTTGTTTTTCCAATCCAAAGAAATGAGACTTCGTCATAGATGATAAAATTTATTTTCTTCAAATTAAAATTTAAAAAATATATATATATATATATTTATCCACCAAAACAAATTCTCTCTCTAAAAAAAAATTTCTTTACCTCAAACGAATTTTCTTGATATCAAGGAAAATTTTGTTTTAATTTCTTTGACTGTTTTTTTCTCCAGTAAAAATTAAACGTCCTCAGAGAAGTAAACTGATTTTCATACTGACGAGGACGCGATGTTTATAATAAGCGGAGCATTTTCGGTTGAGATCCGGCATTGTATGTGAGCAACAATCGAGGACCATTACTCATGTGTTTTAAGAGTATAAAGGGAAACACAACAAGAGAGCGGCGACCGTAGGTTTCTGCATGATTTTGTTTTGTCCTCTGACCTAGTAACAGTCTTAGCCCAGAAAATTATTCAGATGAGACTGTCATCACGGTCTGACGGCTCACGGCTTTATTCGGCGTTGAAAAAATGACGCTTTAAATTCGCTTGGAAAGGAACAGGAACAAACCTTGAGGATAAAACATGTCGCTCTCCTTTCGATTTTAAGAAGTGTTAAGCGTTCCTCAGGTCTGTGGATAGATGATAACAATTAATTTTAAGCCGCTGATCCCGTAAATAACCTCGATTTTGTTATCCTTTTCCACAATTCCAAAAAATCTATCCTTTTTTGGAATAGCATTTGTGCGCTACTTTTTGAAGATTGTGAAAAGTCACTCTAGAAAAAATTGATTTTTTTGAGGAACTGGAAGCTGATGAAGATAATTTGAGGTTATTTTCGCATTCAGTGGTTTGAATTACGCCGGAATCATATATCTAAAGACCTGGGAAAGTCTTGACACTTTCCCTTGGAAAGCGGCAAGAGAGTTTTCCCCGACATTTTCCCGGAAAATATGGATGTTCTAGAGACCTGGGGGATGATGGGAAAAACGGAATTCATTTTTGTGCTCAAGATCAGAATGTACCAGTAATGCACTGCCACGAGTCAACGATATATTTTACTTGTTTCTTGTTGCATTGTGTTCTCAAAGAGCTATTACATACTTGATACTTGCAGTGGAAACGGCCATAAATTCCTTAAGAATCACATTGCATTATCTGACTGCGAGTTAGGGGGGAAAAATAAATACATAAACAAACTGCCAAAACTTGCCATGATAGGTTAAGGCTGTATCAAGTGATATACTTAATTTTAATTCAGAGGCATGTTCTACGTGTTAAACTACAATTAATTATAAAATTGCACCACACCAGACAAAGTCTCACCCATTTGCAATTCTGAAATTCTGAATCACTGTTGCCACCGTGTTGCTCTGGAAACATAATATTAGAGGTTAATTTTAGTAAATTCATGTTACCTACTTACTACCAAATTTTAATATAGTTACCATTGTGTAATGTAAATAAATAATTGTAAATAAATAATACTTTTTTAAGCGTAAGCATGTGCGTTCTTATTGCTCTTGAAAATTTATCCTCAGGGTTACTCCCTTGCGAATAGATAAGCATCAATGATTGGTGATGTCATTTTAAAATTGAACGAAACAGTTACAAGGCGACCGTTAACAGTATTGGCTTTCCTCCGTGACACAATTATTATAATGGATCCATCTAAATGTTTATCAAGTTTTATGCAAAACACTATGAATTTATTTAAACATAATTGTTGTTATAGGTATCTAATTTATTGAAGTAAAAGATAGTAATTGTCGCCTTGATACCTTAATATGAGTTTATTTTAACACAGCACTTCGCACAGCATTAATTGTAATACACTCATATTGAGGTACCAAGGCTACAATTACTATCCTTCACTTCTCTTATGAATTTAACTCAACAATTTTACTTAAATCACTCCTTCGAAAAATTGTCGCAAGTTGCTCATTTTGGGGACACGAAGCTTAAATAGACAGACTCTGCCACCTCACGACGAAATATAATTCGTGGGCGGGTCCCGAAGTCAGTGACGATTCTGCAAGTTGGCAATACTGTTTTCCTCCATTTAAAGCCACTATTAAAATCGATTTTAAGCGAAAAAAGCTGCCTCACCAAGAATAAATTATTTTAAATCCATTTAAATGGAGGAAAAATTGTGTTGCCAATTTTCAAAAATCGCCACTGCCCGAAGTTCAGGCCATATGAATGTCTGAAGTTTTCAGATCGTTAATCCGGAAACGTGAGGAGCAGCTGCCGAAGTTCAGCTCACATATTTGAAGTAATTAGGTACTTCGGTTGACTCTATAGAGGTACGTCACATGCGTCACCCAAACTTCGGCAGCTGGCGCCCTCAAGTTTTCGTATGAACGATCCAAACACTTTGACAGATCCATTTAACTTGAACTTTGGGTCTCGCATGCACGAGGTTTTTTTCTCCTTGTATGCCACCTCACCTCAGACCTCCAATTAAATTACAAAGAAAAGATGGATACTCATTTTTTAGGTGAATATAAAAACTTTTCTGCCAGGAAATTATGCCAAAAATGCACCTTTTTCTGGCTAAGAGCTTTCCAAGTTCAGAAGGAAAATTGTTGATCTATAATAGGAATTATCATAGGGTAATTTTTTTCCAGTATAAAATTAGAATTCAGAATTTTTATGTATGTCAACAAGTTTTTATAAATAGGAACAAAACTTATTTTCCCAGGAACGAGCCGATTGGAGATTTTTGGAATCCCTCATCAAATCAGAAATCAATTTCAAATGTTGGATATGCAGTATATTTTGACAAATTGGCTCATTGGACAAAAATTAGTGTTTAATGAGTAACTTTCAGATATAGCCCAGATTATAAACACATATTCAATGAAAGAAAAACAAAAATGGTTTCCTAATTCATGATTTTTTTTTTTCTTAATGGCCACTATGTTTAGTTCTCTATCTTAGTGAGTATTTCGACCAAATCTTCTAGAGGCCCTTAAAGGTTCAAATACAGATTTAGAAAAGCCTGGAAAAGGCTGGAATTTTGGGTGCCATGGAGCCCTAAAGTAAATT